CATATAAATTCGAGAGAACAATTGACAACATCCGACCTCCTCAAGTCATTGGAGCACTTGAATTGTCCTCCACTTTTGATATGCATATCGAATTTTCCTACAAAACCCTAGTAATCCTCAAAATCTTCTATGTCAATGTGTTGGACGAAAAAAACGAAAGATTTGTGGAGAATTAATCGAAAAGCACGTCGAGAGGCGCTCAGGAACGATGGCTTTGGTCTTTGCAGAAATGTCTTATGCATAAAAATGTGATAGATGTGTTATATGAGAAGAGAAACGAAAACAGAGAATAGCCCGGATTAGAGAACTAGATTTTTAGCTGCATATGGAGAACTCATTAAACAAGGCATCATTGCGCTATCAGAAACTTCTTTTTTCAAACACGAAGTCATTATTCAACCTAAGAAATTTGAAACTACAAGATAGTCTGGATAGTCCGACGTGAACTGGATAAAAATGGAGCAATTACGGCCACTACAACATAATTACTGCTCTCACATCTGAATTGCGCGATTGATCGCCTACTGTAAGCGCGACCCTGTACATAGACCTCTTCAATTTAGGTGAACAAAAACATATGAATTCAGAAAAACCATAAGACTGAACATACCCGATCCATTTCATAAACCAATTTACGCATAACGTCGCGAGTGCTTCCTATTGGAAGTTTCGTCAGATCAAAAAGTTTTTCTTCGGCTTCCACTAGAGTATCGCATTCAGATACGAAAATGGACTGAAAAGTAAAAGCTATGGTACCTGAAGTTTACTCCTTCAGGAAGCATCCTTGCTTCCAAAAACCTCTCTCATGCAGTCTTAGGGACAGCTGTCATAAGAAAGTCAAAAAAAGTATTTCAAACAATACATGAGTCGAATAAAAGCGCAGGACAAAGACTAAGAGAATTTTACTGAAAAAAAAACATACATCTCTTTGCTTTGCTATAGCGAAAGACATACAAACGACCGCATGAGCCACTCTGGGCCCTCCCTCATCACGAAACTGTGAATCCAACAATGCCAATTCCAACAAGTACTGAAAAACCAAACTGAAATAGAATAAAACTGAATACAAGATTTGCTATAGAGGTCCAAGGGATCCCTTTGAGTGTTTTCACGGTTTCACTTGCTGTTTTCATTACCGACCGACGGAATACCACATCTAATTTTATTTTCGAGAGCGATAATTCCAACATAGGATGTGCCTTCGATGACAATGTATAGGAAAGCATATACAACTTCTACATGAAAAAAAACTACGATACGGCATCTGTTGTGCGCACCTTTTGGTAGAGCAATACACATGACATTAATTTCCCTTTTCTGTTAAAATGTGTCACGCACCTTGTTTCACCCAAAGAATGAATTATTCCGCCAACCTCACGCCAACAAACATCGTGATTGATTGATAACGCATTACATATGTAAACTAAAAAATACCACCGCACGAAAAGAAAAACTACTCCAAATAAAAAAATCACGATTGCACCGCAACGCATACGATGGTCAAACCCGTCTGTTTCGTCATTTAAGGAAATTTTTCAACCTCCCTCCCCCTTAAGCGATCTCGATACACCCTTCAAACCACCACCGTGAGCCTTAGGATGATTCCCCACTCCAACCTCATCTTTTTGCCATTTCTATAGGATTAAATCCTTGGACAAGCCGAGACATTCCAACTGCTCTCCGCTCCAAAACTGCCATCGAGCGTGGGGAAACGGAGGGATACATCCAGAGACATTCTAGACCAGTTATTCTAGTTCTATTTTTGTCCAATCCACGCTTCTTGTTGAGATCTTTATCTAAATTACCGAAAAACACGTCAAAACGACCTCTCCAAACACCACGACCTCTTCACCTTCCGAAAATACGACTCCCTAGCGAAAATTTCAAATACGACTCCTCTGGACCGGATTGTTCACCCTGAGTACGAGCACACTTTTCCCATTCAGCCACATAGTACGGGCCATCTTCGAAGGCGGCCATCACCACGCGAGGCATTGCTAGACAGCTGTGGGTGCACCCTGCCGCGGAACAACCACTTTTTAGCTTCCCCTCATATTGTATAGACAGTTTTTTCCCCGCGCTTCAATGATCACTTAATCCCCCCACACCACAAAACCAAAACGACAATACACCATCTGCTTATAATGCAAAACCGAAGCGAATCTGCATGTCACTACTTTTTGCTTTCGCAGTTTAATAACTTCGTATAGCCACTCTGTATACTTTGATATACGAACTTAAAGCAACAGTTCAGGAACGGTTTCGCGGGAAAAAACCACCAATAATGAAGTTGTAGATGAAAACCAGACGATTAATGTATGAAAAACTGGAAAAAAACGTCGGGGAGGGTCTTAGACAGGTACTCTCCCTCTGCCGCTCAGCAATGGATAAAGACGCACGTTGGACGAGTTGTCTGAACGTGCCCGCTGTAAACGCGCTCCATTTTTCAATCAATTTTCCCTGTGGTCCCAAAACGAGCACGATTGCCGACGCGTCCAATGACGGCCGGCAAGGGGGCGGGATTGGGGAAATCCCCAAGAACACCCATGTTTGAGGGACTTTCCACCCTGTTTTTGAGTTTCTGAGGTAAGTTCGTTTATTATTTCCACTGCATATGTTCTTCACTAGGGCTCGTGTATCCCTCAGTAGTAGTGGCATTGAAATTTTCGGACCCTCCCTGAACTGTTGCTTTTTAAAAGGAATCGTTTCATTAGAATTAGAAGCATTCTTTCGTAGAGAAGTATGCGTCAGTGTGACTACTAGAGACTACGTACGAAACTTCACGCAAGAAAATTCAGTTTTCGAAGAGAAACAAACCTACGAAAACCACACTCTGGAGAAGGGTATCGGCCATGTCGACATTAAGGAGGGCGGGGCAAGCGGGCGACGCGGGGACAAAGGAACGCATGGAAAGAAGTGGCATGGGGCGCGCTTTATTAACACATTGACGACCGCGCGCGTTTTGGCTTTTTTGGCCGTGTGGGACCGGGCCGATTTTGCGAGTGCGACCGCCGCACCTCGGATCCGTGAATTTTTATTGATAACTTTTTAAAGCACCAGTGGTACAAAAACATCTCAGTAACAGTCAATGCGTAGAAGGTAATAGAGTATATAGTGACGAAGTTCCGATTAAAGAACATGTAATGGTAATGAAAAAGGAAACTTTAGTCATTTTATCTGTAGTGGATGCCAAAAGCTCTTTTGATGTGGTTATACCAAGTGAAACATGTATTTTTCTGTCTCTTTAGATTTGCATTTACTTTCACTACCCTTTTTTATTGACGTGTTCATGAGAATAGCATGAAAACTATTAATGAACCAAGCCGCCGGTTTCGGTGAGCTTGGAAAACTTCTTCTAAACTGGAGCATATTTGAACAAACAATGACCTATGTCGTTCACAATAATGTTATGTTCTAATCCATAGAAGAGAGACAAACAATTCGGGAAAAAGCTGCGCATGCCCTAGAAAAAGGGATGATAAGGGTGAGACGCGGTAACGCGTCTCAATGTCCAACGAGGTGCGCAAAGTGAGACGCGTTACCGCGTCTCAATGTCGTCAATGTGTTAAAGAAAAAAGATTTGGGAGAGCGGTAGGATATACGTAATTATACGATTCGTATAGCATACATTACTTTTCGCGAACGCATTCCTTCAATTAAAGTGAGTATCACATTTACAGAAAAAATCCTTACTTTGCAGCGAAGCGAATTTGCTCATCATCGCAACATAACTCGGCAAGCATAAATGAGCAAAAAGAAGTGGAGTCGGGAAACACAACCCATCCTTCATCTCGTGCACAATACGCTTTTCAATATCACACAAACGAGCCTTGTCTGTTGTAGCATCACACAGTCTATCGACGTTACCTGGTCGGAGTGAATTCGTATTCCTCCATCTTCCTTAAAATACTTGCAAAATGAAATCTATCACTGCATTAGACAAAGTCTACTATGTCGAACAAAAATTAATAGTATCGGTGAATACTTACGTTCCAAGCGTCATCGAAACTGCACAAACATCCGCCAAAGAGCTTCTCGCAATGTGAAAGGAATCCAAACACTTGTCCAATATATAAACTCCAAGATGGATTGCCTCCTGTATGGGAAAGAAAATAAGTTGTAAAAGATGATTCATCTCCAAAGCATGGTGCGTACACGGTCGGTTCCTGTTGGCGACCCCAGGAACGAATGGGAACCAATCCCAAAAGGATAATTCAAAAAGCTGATGTTACGTGACTGTGGCTCTATAGAAAACGCCGAAAGTGCATGTGCCTTTATCGTCTCTAGCATAAGTGGAAAAAGTGGAAAAGTGTGGAGATGTTTACGTCCGAGAAAAGACTGCATCAGATTCGGAGAAAATGATTTAGGAAGATCCCACGTTTCTGAATCTTGAAAGCACGCCCAAGGGTCAAACGGTTGTGGTCCTTGAATATGAAAGAATTGATGAGAATTGGGCCGTTACTAAGGGAAAATGAGAATCTGAAAACTTTCAAGGTATAAAAAGGGCGCGCTGGTGTGTGGAGCCAAACTAGGCAGTGAATATCCAAAGTGTCACTTTTAACACATTGACGACAGCGCGCTGCTCGTGTATCTCGGCATCTTTCTTATATTTCTGCAGAATTACATTACCCCAATAATTCTGTTGCTTTTCCCAAAAACATTGTTTTGTGGAATCACTAATGCATACTGCATACCTTGTATTACACAAACATGCAACATTACTAGGCCTTGTGAATTGCTAGCAAGATGCTAGCAAGCAAGACTAAAACAGCATTAAAAGCCCCACCCCACGCAGAAGTCGTGTCGAGAATCTATTCAGTGGATGGGATAGAGTAGTAGCCCACAAGTAGCACAGATGTGCCATTGTCGCGGCTCGAAAGTCCGCCGCAATGGCGTTAGGGTCTTTAAAAAGTCAGCATTTGGCCATAATCTATCAGGTAGCATGTAATAAATTTGAAATTTGAATAAACTTAGCATCTGGACGAGTTACGGAGCGCACATCGCATGACACACATTGTGAACTACTCTCTGAAAGTGTAACTGGCTGGTATTTATGAACTTAGCGTTTACCAACCAAAGTGTGCTTCCGCTTTTTCATGTCCATTAGTGCTCTCATTACGACAGCACGGCGATCGGCCCAAGACGCTCCTTCCTTTTTCTGGGCATCCATAAATAAGGTGCCTAAGCCATGCGTGGTCGTCTCTCGATAGCTTAACCATGCGTAAGTCTGAAAGAATCTCTCTAAGACGTATACATTTCTTTATCGACCATTTCAGACCAAAGAAGCAGTTTAGCGAAAAGCAGTGAAAAGGAAAACTTCACATTCTTGGTATCATTGTTTACCTTTTCATACATTCCAACAAACGAGTTTCTGGCTAACAACGATTTGTACCTAAAATAACGTTGAATCGCGAATGTCACTTCCATTCTTGTTCAAAGGGAAACAGATGAGGATGAGGACCCAAACGGTGTAATGTGTCGAGGAAGAAAGGCTAATGGATTCTGCTGTTGATAAGGGTAAGAGCTGAACAAAAACATTTCTCTTCATTAACGAGTAACTATGTTGTCGAAGAGAGATAAAGCTTCCACACCACCCGAAGCTCTTAGGCAGACTGATCAACACCACGGCTCTCGCAGCAGGGGAGGCGATGTGCTTGAGACGCTGTACGCCACCACAGACTGAAATGAGATAGAAAATTGCCTCTGTCGTCGCACTGAAATAATTTTTATTTGAACAATAGTATTCAAAATTGGAAATAATCACAGTTATGATCCTGGCAGACCTTTATTGGCAGGTTCTTGAAACCGTATCGGCGCTGCTCACGTTGAGAAAGGCGCAAGAAACACTAAGTACTGGAGGAAGAAAAGAAAAAAAAAAAAAAAAAAAAAAAAAAAAAAAAAAAAAAAAAAAAAAAAAAAAAAAAAAAAAAAAAAAAAAAAAAAAAAAAAAAAAAAAAAAAAAAAAAAAAAAAAAAAAAAAAAAAAAAAAAAAAAAAAAAAAAAAAAAAAAAAAAAAAAAAAAAAAAAAAAAGAGAAAGGAGGGAAAAGGGAGTGAAGTAGTATGAAAGGCCAGTTTTGTTTCCATATTATGATTTCTGCGGCTCCGTTTATAATATCCAATGATGATGACCAGATAGACTCACCACTTGTGGAGAACCTTCATTACTTGTATCACAAATCTTTCGCTGAACTGCTACATCATCAACTGTGGGATGCAACTCCTCGACAGGGAAGGAATTTCAATGGCATCGTTTGTCTGAAATGGAGGAAATGCTGACAGCTACCATGCAGATTATCTATTAGTAATTTCCGGCTTTGAGCTCATTTCTACTACACTCAATTGAGTAATGAGAAAAATTGCGCTTCAAATTACATGCGCTGGTTGAGAAAAAAACTATCCATCCAAAATGTGCTGCGCATAGCGATCACTTTCTGTTTGATTTCAAGCACCATCTTAACGGCAAACGCCTTTTCTGTTTTTGTCATGGGTAAGCGTTTCTCGATGGCCGATCGTGATTGCACGGCGATCAACAGCGTCACAGGAAAATCCGAAACGAAGCAAAACGATGTACGAAAATCAGCTCAATTATAGCATGAAGAGTCAAAGAAATAGGTGCTATTGACGGCAGAAGAAGTTACTATCATGACCGAGGCTCTGTTACTTTCGGCGTATATTTCCAACAGCCGGTCAGGACACTCAAATGTATACCTGAGAGCGCTATGCACGTCAAGATGAAAATGCGAGATAATATTAGGCTGGTGTCAGAGTCCGCGATTCGTCGCAGGATTCGCTGATTTTCGCGATTTGCGCGATTCACGCGATTTGCACTCGATTGCGCGATTTGCGCGAAACCTGCGACGGATCGCAAAAATTGCAAGTGTGTGAACATTTGAAACACTGAATATGAAACAAGTGGAATCATGAGCAGTCGTCATTCAGCCATCACTATCAAGCAGAAGTGGCGGAGAACACCTTGCAGTATTGATCGGGCACTTGTGATTTCCGTGACCCGTCGCGTGAATCGCGCAAATCGCGAAAATCGCGAAAATCAGCGAAACCTGCGACGGATCGCGGACTCTGACACCAGCCTTACAGTTTGGAATAATTTTGTCTTGTTGGCATAGTAGCAGGAAACAACGCAATCAATGAGAACAGTTTTTCCTATCCTCTTAGCTCCGATCAGCCACTTGTTGACAACCGCTGTGTTCTTCTGGATTAGTCTAGATGATTTCTTCTTTTTGCATGAATCTCCTCTTTGAAAGGAGCAGCAGTGCAAACCAGTGCATGTTCTATCAAAAGAACCGTTGTCGAATACATAATTACTCACTTGCTATTTGAATTATCGTTCTGCAGATCTTCTTCCGACGAATTTGCGACACAGCTAATTCCACTTTGAGAGAGAAAGGCTGTAAAATTCC